AAATATACAAAATATATTCAATATACAATATATATACAATATGAAGATATATACAGAATATATATATATATATACAAATATATAGAATATAAAAATATATATAGAATATAAAAATATATACAGAATATGTATATATATATATATTATGCTTTGATTGGTCGTTTTCCGATTAATATAATTATGTACATAATCGAGTTTGCTTGCGTCTGTGCCTGTCCAATCTGGGCTACGAAAGGACATTTTGTAACTGTGATAATTGCTGTAGAGGATAACGTCACTTCAAAGTTTAGTTGCATAATTTCGGATAGGCTGCCCCAAACCCTCTCCCACTCGCATACACACACAAACAAACACACACACACACAAATAGATTGACGAATTGTGGCTGGGTGCTGAAACTGGCAAGACGCACTGATGAGGCTGACTTTGTTGCCGGTGAAACGTCTGTGAATGTACAACAGTCCACAGTTTGATGCTGGGGATTGTCATAAATTCTGCGGCCGAAGAGTACGGACAAGCTGCGTCCAACTAGATCGCCCGAAAACGGGCTCGGACGACTTCTATTCATATTTACGCGAAATAGTTTCTATCCAACTTCCCACCTCTACTCCTCCCACTCAATGTATTGCCTAATCTTATCATTTCCACGGCTTCTCCCTGCAACCGTTCAGCAGCAGACGTCGCCTAATCAGCAAACCCATGCATTTTACAACATTCAATCCCATGCCAGATATCTTCTCTGAGATTGGGACACATCAGGCCTTGCAAGAACCTTTCTGTTCAACCATTCTTTGGAGAATAGGCCAACAGGCCAACCACATAAACACACAATCTTGTACCAGTGTGATCTTGACATAGGGAATGGAGCATATATGAGGAAAATCTAGCCTCGCTGATTATTTTAACTACATTCACAGTCATTCTGTACACCATCATCTCAACTACACGTACTTTCTAAAGTACACAAACGTAGTCATACTCTTATTTGGGTCGTCAAACCTTAATGAAACGGGACTGAAAATACACTTTCGTAACAACTCATATTTATGACTGGTGGCTTATAAACCAAACACACACAATCAAAAATTCGAACCAAAGCATTTAAGCACATTTTTTTGGTGGGGTTGTCGATGAAATAAAGATACATTTACAATGACAATAGAATATACTACTTATTTTACTTTTATATGCAAGCTCTCGAGATTTCTAGTTAATGCGTTATATGAGATGTACAAGTAATTTAGTCGATTGTCATAGCATATATAACTGTGCTTCATCGATAATCCCACCAAAGGATGCGATATCCGAAATTCACATCTACCCTGTGGCCGAGTGGTTGACGTGTCAAGCTGACATGCTGCGCTGGCACGGTTCGACTCCCGCTGGCGGTGCTGATGAGACCGGCAGTCGACTCGAGGCGGGATGAGAATGCCTTTTGGGAAGCAAGGCTTTGTGAAATCTGTTGAAAAACATCTGTTCTACTCACACGATTGTGGGCAAAATCAACCACCAGTGCTTGCTCACCTTAAACGAAATAGACTAAATACATCTCATATAAGCGACCTACGAGTAGTCTCGAAACCCTACTTATAAACAAGAACTTTCCTTGATTATTGCTACAGACGCTAAGACACATACACACTCGAGTATGTGTGCATACATCATGTGGGAGAGAGCCAGCCAATCATCTTGGCCAAGTGTCAACTTAAGACTTCGCCAAGAATTGGTACCAGCTGTGGCGATGTTAGTCATGTGGCATGACGAACGAGAGCTCAGCTCGTCTTCGCCAGAGACGTTGAAGTAGGCCCCGTGGACAGCATCAACCTGAACGTACCGGCAGCGGTAAAATGTGAATCAGCAACGACCTACGCATCTGTTCATAATGCACTTTCATACAAAATGAAATTCGTGACAACAATTTCATTCATACACTTCGTTAAAAGCCAGATTTTTAATTCTCCTTCGTTTCACTTTCTATTTCTCTCCTTTTTTGCAAAGCCTGTCTGCTCGAAAGTGCAACTGAACTCACGACCCTCTTGCGCGTTAGCCGTTCCGTACACTTGCTTTAGAGGAGAGTGGGACACGGACCTCGTCCTCTCATCGGACAGCTTCTGGATGCCCTCGAGGCCAAGAAGGATGACCGACAAGTTGGAAGGAAAAAAAGGATCAGCACTTCGGAAAGAGGCCGCAACAGCTTCGTCTTGGCCACTTTACCGAGTGTCATTTAGTGATCGGGACTCACAATCAGATTTCGCATGTACATGTTGGTGATCCACTTTTTGCCTTGACCCTGCGGATCGATGATGAGTGAGTAGCGGAGGGCAGAAGTTGCAATGATCGCATTTTGTATGGACAACTCATCCAAGGGCAGACCCTTCAGTGACCATTCATTCAGCTGTAGCATAAAATTGAATTGAACACAGAATTAGTGAAGCGAGTAATTGGCAGTATTTAAAAGTAGTATAAATTTATGTAAACAACTAACAAGATAATATTGAATGAGTCAAATGTCGTAATGGCGCAAGACGATAATTGAACTAAGAAGGAGGCAACATTACGAATGACTGTGCAGGTCTAATTAGATCCGTCTTCATTTTTCGGAATAAAATGCCACAAAATATGCCATTTTGATTGAATAGGAGAAAATATTTACATAAAATGGGGCAGAATTGTCAAAATCCCAAACTGGCAAAATGAGTAATATTGCCTAAGATTAATAAAATAGTTTTACTACAATATTATGAAAACATTAATAATGATGCCATCTTTGGGGACCGACAAATTGTAAGTCTTTTTCTGAGTGAAATACCATCAGCCGATTCGCTGACGTTAATTTTGGATAAAACGCAAAGCAAAAAGCTAAGCAGACGTACGCGTCGTTGCTGGCCTTCCCCTCGAGTCAAATGACAATGAGAGCATCAAAAAGACACGTTACAAGCATTCTATGCTGAAGTTATGCAACGGCGAGGGGACAAGAGGCACCAAGGCTCATCTCATGCCGACGTGGTTGAGCACAACTCATCTCTCCCAAAGCCCAGAAGACAGCACAATTTCACCTCCCTCTCGTTCCTTCGCCCAGTCGCCAACATGAGAAATGTCGTGAGCTTACCCTTCGGCATCAACTTTAACCGCTTGTCGGTGTGCATTTTAGTAATTTGATCTATCCGACAACTCGTTTGGCAGCCATCGAATTTTGATATTTCTTGCTTTTGTATTTTGGTTGATGATGAAATGCGGTTTCCATGGGTAGCATAATCGTTTTTTCTGAGGTAGATTTGTCCTGATTATAGAGTTGAAGTATATTGTAAATCGGCAAGGTTTTTTATTTATGTGCCTAACTGACTACTTGGTTCGATTTCAGCGTCTTTGGGACACTTGACGTGTCTGGCCAATCAGACTGAATTGAAGGGAAGCCCAAGTCCTCCGGCCCATTTTCCGCCTGCAATTCTGCCGCCCAAAAGCGCCTCTTCTCACCAGAACTGGACTACAGTTTTGATACCAATTGAGTCTCATCACCAGCAAATACACCAGAGCGTAGGCTGAAAGGCTGAATTGAGCACCATTTTGACCCGTAAGGTGTGAAAAACCCTCTATGCCAGATAACTCGTGGGGAGCGTTCAATTTCAGAAAATATTAATAAAGAAAAAAGGACTTGTACAATTTATTTGAGCACATCATTTGACCCCATTTATCTGTCATTCATTGTCAACACGTTGTGCTTTGAGGATTGGGAAATGAGCAAATGGCGAGACGGAATAAGATAGTCATCAAATGGAGACGAAAGTATAAAATCTGTTACTATTGTGCACAACGTGAAAGTTAACTCAGTGTATTTTCGTTTTTCAGTTGGGTTTCGAGACTATCAGAAGATCTTGAAAAAGAAGTGTGTTCACTTTATAATTCGATAAAGGGAATGAAGAAATGGTAGCTGAATTGTGCCACAAGCTGACGAGTAAGCGCGATCGCAGCTGCACTTTACTCCAATCAGAATGAGAATACCATTTGGGAAGTAGGCCTTTGTGCAATTAAATGGGAACATGTGGTCTAATCGTGTGATTTTGGGACAATTCAATTACCAGCTATTCTGTTTAGGGCAACTTTGCAAGTTCCCATTTGGCACATGCCTTCCAACTCGAGTGGTGAGCCTTCTCAGCTGTGGATGACTTTGCATGTCAATCGGTGAATAACCGAGAATGAGTGAGGTTAAAGAATTGGTTCTTGATAAGATCAAATTCCTGACACAATCTGCTCAAAATGAGCCTGAATTTAGTAGACTTGAAAGGAAAATGAGTTTGCAAGAATACTTCATTTGACTCATATTGTTGTACGGTTGATTTCATTCGAAAGTACCGCCAACAGGGATTCACACATTTGCATCATCAGAGACCGAATTGCAATTGCTTCTCATTTTATGCAGCCACCTGACTCATCAAAAGCACCTCAGACAGGCATGAAATGGCCAAAGAAATGTTTTTAAAAGTAGAAATATGAAGTAAGTGAAATTTTAGGGCTGAGCTCAATTTCTCTTTTGAGTGAAAGCATGTGATGTTGAAGAGATTGGAGGGTCAATCCGATTCAAAGATGGTGGATTCTGAAAATCGAGCTTTAAATCCCCTCCTTGAATGCGTTCACTAGAAATAAAGGAATGCTCAACACTTTTAAGCCAAGATACTCCACGAAGCACAACTTTGCTTGGCATGGAAGTTCTGGATTTAGCGCTTTTTGTCTGACTGACGGTTCTGACGATATCAAATAACGGAAAGGCATACGAAAACACAGCACGGATAGAAGTTTTTTGATCTTGTTTTCGCAACTCGGTCATATTGGTAGGAAGACTTAAAGAAACGCACCTAGTCCGGAGTCC